TAAAAATCAATAAAATAACGATTATAATCAACAAAATGGAATCATTACTACACTTACTTGATTTTCAAAGCCATAGTAACTAGAGAAGGTTTACTGAACATATGAAAGTCCCTTAAATTGCTTCATCTTAATAGCTAAGACTTCGATGAAGTCGAGAATATGTCGTCAATAGATAAAGAAACATGAATTCTTTGATATACATCAGTTGTTTATTCCTTAACCAATGAGACTGTCACCCTAGCCCGTCGTTAATAAGATAAGGTGATTTAATTCAATTCTAAAGTTACTTTAAAACATCTTGAGAGCTTCTTTCTTGCATAAAACAATGAGTCTTCTTTATGTTAATGTGAGCCGTAATCCACTTCAACTGGCAAATGAAGTTGAATTCCATCAGCAAGCTAACCCATTTGAACTGATGCAACCCATCAAGTTAGTGAACTGGTCAACTTGTTCAACCATTCTCCTCAAAGTAGTAACTACTGAGGATCAGTGTTGGAGAATAAAGTTATATTGGATAATTGCGAAACGTATACAAAACACACTCAGATTTCTGCTCAGGACGCTATGAAGATTCCACATTTTGTAAGCACCGTCTAGATAATTCAAATGAACGAAGTGTCCTTGTAACACTTAGACGATCCCTGATAAGTAGGAAACACAGATTGATGTAAATCGACACGTTCTTAGCACTTCTAAATAAGCATGGTGACAGTAGATATCACTGGTGCAAATCCCTAGATGTTGTCACTTCAGGCTATGGCTCTCCATAATCCATCACATGGCTGGATGTGTTTGAGTGAATAGCTTCGATTACAGAAACACACCGCATTAGTATGCCCTTTACAATCAGATACCATCACAGCAAAGCCAACACAGTCAGTTGCCTTCTTCAAGTCAAGGAAAACGGCAACCATCAGCTATCGGTAGATACGCCTGCGTTCAAGAACCTGTCAAACGGTGAAGATGTAATCAAAACATCTTTAAACTAAACCTGAAACCTGCCTTTTTTCCTGTTAGGCTTATTGTTCATGACCTCCAGTTAGGCGTCGAATAACTACTTTCACTAGGGTTTGGAAAGAGTGTTGGTGACATTGACCCTCTTAGGTTATCATACGAAAACTCTTCTCCTTTCTTATAAATAGAAGTCACCAGCCACCAAGCCTACTTTCACAAGACATGGCCTGACTCACATATACTTTCCGTCGGTCTATTTGTTAATTTTCTGCCACCTTTCCTGAAAACTTCTGGTTTTAAGGAAATGCCTCCTTAACTTCTGGGAGAACTGATGGACCGACAACCAAGTCTTGTTCAGGTTTCGGCTGAATGATCCGTTGACCGCTTCATCTATCTGGAAAGATGAATCACTGCTTGTGGGTTCACCATAAATTTGGTCGCTAATTTGAGCCATGTAAGGAGAAGCAGACTTCCCCTTTCGGGTCCCCTGAGATATAAATACAAGAATTCTTTGTGATTCTTCGCTCAACATCACCTAACATAAAATGTACGCAGTACAAACTGATCGATAAGGAATAACACCAATCCATGTAGACAATAACTGTATGTCTGTATAATCGATATATTTAATAGCATGGTTAGGAATCAAGCCAAATGGCTCAAAATCGATTGCTATTATGAAAACTGTCACTTCTCCTTGCCTTATATGTCCGTCCAAAATCGCTGACCACTTTATTCTATATGACATGTCAATTTTTATTGTTCAGTGACTGACCAATGTCATTCATCTGGTCCACAGAGAGTTACTTGGCAATTGAAGTATTCGCTGTTAACCATACTTGATGCAGTGGCAAGTATGGTGTTATTGGGCTATGTAGTGAAATGTCCAGCCAAAGTATGGTATCAGGTTTGGGAGGCTCGTTTTAATATCCAGTAACAATTACCATGATATTAGCCTGGTAATATTACTGACTGGTTCCAGATTTCATACAACGATTCCTTCTATATCCCATAACGTGTGCTCAATCAGTAATGTATCAAAGTCAGTCGCCTGTATGTTATTTGCTGAACCAGAAGCAGCTCACTGTTTACTGAATAAGCGGCATCATGTAATTCTGACTAACTAAATTTCACTTGATGAAACAAAGACAAATAAATGCACGACCATTTGTCTTGGATCGACTGATTGCCTAATTTTCTTTCTTTCTGTCTGACATCCCCCCCCCCCATCATGTACTACTCCTCATCATTACTATTAATATTTGCTCCTTGGGTTTCAAGAGGAACATTCGGATTCAGTAGCATGTCGCCATTACACTCTCTTCTCTGCAGTCTTTCCACCTGGCTCCACCACTACCCACAAGCTCTCGTTTCTTCCTCATACGATCTCCTCCATATCACTCTCGCCTCAGATGCCCAACTCATCGTTTCACATGCCGGTTCCACTCGAAAACCCAGCATGGACTGGAGCATGATGTCCCCAATCAGTCTTCTCAATGTATGCTCAATAAATCTCCACCTTCTTCTTCACATTTGTTGTACGATGTGTTATGATTTCGTTGCTTCGTTGTCAGGCCAGACAGAATTCCTCCTTGCTTATTCTTATTATTCTGGTCATACACCTCATCTTCAGAATGGAGCGAGTGTAGGGGACATGTGTTGATGATATATGTCTGTAGTTTGTTGAGAATGCTTTTCGTCACGTGCTTAGTCTGTCAATCATCACATAGAAGCACTGACTTAGTTGAGTGACATTAGTGGTGTTGAATATCCGAATGTTGTTGACGCTTTATGCTGAATGGAGTGGAGTGGAGTGGAGTGGAGTGGAGTGGAGTGGAGTGGAGTGGAGTGGAGTGGAGTAGATCTCCATACTGATTTGATTTCAGGTTAATGAAGGAAGGCCTCTAAGTCTGTCTTTCCGATAGTGGTGAGTTTTTGATATCCTGCTGTGTGCCTATGTCGTCTGTAGTTGAAACGATGCTGCCTAGGTAGGTAGGTAGGTGTGTGGGTAGTAAGGTGAAAGAGACTACTTCCTTTACATTTCTTTCGGTCATGGTGACTGGTGATTATTTATGTTGTTGTTTTTGGTTAGGTATCTTCATCACCTGTCTTCTCTCTGTTCATCTGAAGGAAATCCCGTCTTCCTTCGGAGCCTTGTCGCTTTTGCTAACTTGTTGTATTTTGCCTGTAGATCTTCGAGTTTGTGCGACAATTTATTAGACGCAAATCATCATCGGCGGCGAAATGCAAATCCCCTTCTGGAGTTTTTTCATCAGTCCAGACAGCGTGTGCCCATCTTCCCACAGCTCCTCTCACTTGTCTGTTGCATGATCCAGTCCAGTTCAGTCAGCCACAATCAGGAAGACCATTGGTGGTAGTAGGTGGCAACCACCTTATCTTACTCCTGTCTTGACTTCAGAGGCATCACTGAGCTTTCCATTGTGAATCACTCGGTATGTGAAGTCTTCATATAACTATTGAATGAGGTTGATAATGGTTTGTGGTAGTGAACGTGTAGTGTTGAAGCAGTTTCCAAATTACTACTCTTTCGACGCTATCGAAGACCTTTTCAAAGTGGGTGAAGTTGAGGTACATGTTTGACTGTTATTCTATTCTCTGCTGTATGATGAAGAGTAGTGTAGCGTTGCAATTCGATGTGCCCATGATTTGTTCTTCCTGAAGTCAGCCAGCCAACCCATTTCGGTGGTAATTTGTAATCCAGTGCATTAAAATTTAATTTCTCGCAGGATGATATGGCTTAATATTTTGCTTTGGGTGGACAGCAGCATGATTCTCCGCCAGTTCTTGCAAAGACTGAGGTCTTCCTTCTTCGGGAGGCGACAAGGTGACGCTTCTTCCAGTCAACAGGTACTTTGCATTACTTACGATAAACAGTCTTATGGACCAAAAGTATCTCGTCTGTTTTAGACACGCCATGATACACAGACTATTCGCTAATGGATCAGTGGATATTTCAAGCTTTTAAAGTCACAGTATGTGCTTGGAGATTCTTAAGGCTGTTCACATCAGCAACTGATGGTTGCATTATGTGAAAAGCTGGCAGAAGTTGGATAATGCTTGATACACCTTGGTTTCCAAGAAGCTATCAAGTTGAAGTCATTCAGTGACAGAAATTACTTTTCAATCAATCACTTCTCAAAATACTAGTCATCGGCTTGCATTCAAGTGTTTATTAGTGACTTGAAAACAAATCTCCAGGAGAACTTAACCCTCCTTTATGAGAAAGAAGCATATTAAGTGTTGTATATAAGTAATAAAACACGTCCTCATGAATATCATTATGGGTGCCAAAATGACAGCTTTGATGTACTTGAGACATAGATAAGGACTAAAATTATGGACTGCCAGATACAGTGTTTATCACCACTTAGACGACTATATAAGAATTCAATTGGTTCCTCATAAACCTGTCAAAAGGAGAACCAATCCAATACTTGCATTATGTTTCTTGAAGATTCTAGTGAGAAGCTATGAGTTAGACAGACTAAGTGTGCGGTTAAATACTCGTCGCTGATATTTCACGAATAGACAAAAGTATGAAAAGTTGATCATTAGAATCCAACTGAGTGGCTTAGAAGGAATTATTCTACCCTAGAGAACCAAAGCTCCAGAAATCGATCCTCTATGACGTCATAGATGTGTACTGGTGATGTTTACTAAACTAAATTGATGTCAATCGGTTGAATAAGTCAGCTTAGAATACATATGGCACGTGAATATAATCGAATTACGAGAAGCAAATTATAAAAACTAATCTCAGCTATGAGAAGAGCACTCAAGTAACCTGATGGTAGAGACAATCAATAAAACGGTATTTCTTTACAGAAATTATTTTCAATATTCATGTGGGTGTCACCTGGTTGATATTCAATCGGTTGCCATAGTGCGCCAATTCATTTGCCTGACTCTACATTCTCATTGGTGAATTCAACTAGTTTGTTGCCATTGGCAATTCGTTTATCCAATGAGGATGCAACCAGGTGAGATGTGTTGAGACAGATCGTATTATCTTATTAATATCCATTTAAAACAGATATGAATGAATAAGTGAGACCTCTCGAAATAAATCATAATAGATGATGGATATTAACGGGACGGATTACAGTAGTTCATACCAGAAACGTTTTGAACTATCTGTTGCCAATGACTTGCTGTTAAACCAACATGATCACATTCATCACCATCATGATCACCAACATGGATCACCTCACACAATTGGAAATGAAGGCCTCTTCCTAAGTCATTCATATTTGGGCAGTTTCATCATATGCTTAGGATTATGGTGGTGGATACAAGCATTGAGAAGATGTTATGCATCTTCGAAACGTAATCATCGTACTCAGGAATATACAGCTACCATATCATATCCATCGTTTTGTTGTAAAAGTCGTCTCGGTGAAGCATATTGTAAGATCATCTTTTGTGTAATTGGAATAGGAGTAGAATTGTTAACTCTGAAATTTAACAGACATCATGAATATGCACATTTCCCATTTTATACAGCAATGATTATTGCCAGTCTCTTGGATGTACTCATCGCCACGATCCTTGCACCACCATATGGTATGGATTATGTTGCTCATGCTCTACCATTCTTTATACAAGCTTGTTGTCTACGTGCTCATTCCTATCAACAACCACTTGTTACACAAACATGTCGTCTACTGTTAAGTTATTGGAGTTGGTTTACTGGTTCATCGATAGTCAATGAAATGTTACTAAATAAATCTATAATATGGACATGGATTAAATGTTTTGGGGTAATTTTTCAAGGAACATGGATTTGGCAGACAGGTATATTATTAAATCCACCATCTGGTCGATTATGGGATGAAAATAATCATAATAGTCTTATGTATAGTGTAATCATATTCGTATGGCATATGTTTTTTGTTATGATCGGTCAATTAGTTGTGTTACTCATAGTGGCCAAGTGTTATCATACTTCACCTGATTGGACACTAACTGATCCAATATCCTTGTCCACTTCATCAACAGTATACAAACATGATAAAATGTCTTCGAATGGACAGAATTCAATCAATTCCCATGATAAGATTGAGTATACAAAGCTACTCAACTCAGATGATGTTGAAATGTAATGATTATACTGACAATATTTTAAACTGATGTTGAACATTGAAAATAGATTTGTGTTTGTATTCCTTTCTGTTATGTAACGTAACTTTAAACAATTATTTTGATTGATTTGAAAAGATATTGATAAAACGTTAGTGTTTTTGCATTGCCATGACTACTGAAGTGGAATGACTGATTATATTGTGTAAACACGTTATAGATAGAATGCCTTGGGATATGGAGGCGAGTTGAAGGGGTTCAATGATAATTAATAACCGGAAATGCTGGATTTAGACAGTTTTTTTGCCAGGTATGTCAACTCATCACCCATCTTGCCTGACTACCAACTACATAACTGTAGTATCATTGACTACATGTGAAAATCATGAGGTTGTGAAGACCAGCATGACTGTCACGCCTTCACCTACTTTAATGAGGCAAGTCATATAAATAAGCTTTGACTGGTTCTGATTCAGTTCTTTGATATTTTGACGAAACAATGGCAGAGACACGCTAGGATGACTAACAAGCGATTGCAGACAATAATGTTATGAATTGTAGGAGGTTAAAGTGATTCGCTTCTGTACAATGTTCTACAGTGGTACACCTGCTGCCTCTCTGACTCCCTACGTATCCGCCTAGATGTGTAATGTGAGTTAGAGTAGTGTCAAGAGGGAGAAATATCCATAACTGTCAGGTGGACAAAGGATTTCGCCACTCTGAAGTTACTGATTCTTATTCGAGTTAATTATTTATGTGGAAGGCGAGCATTCTACGAGGAATCTGACGTCAAATATGCAGAGAGTGGTTAGTTGGAAATGTCAAGTAGCGTGGCTTAGAAACGATAGTATCACTGCAGGCTCTACATCATGCACAAATTCGATATGATAGCCAACTGTTTCATGTCTTCATAAGTCCTTGATTCTATCTTATCCTTAACGTTGCGTATTCCTCAGTAATAGTTCAGTTGTTGTGTTCGTTGACGCAAAGGTGCAAAGACACCAATCTTCGGTGTATTCTATTGGTTGATAAGCTTGTAAAAGGATGATTGGGTTGTTATTACCTGATCCAAAACCAGTCTTACGTAAATTAATGTGCGCCAGTGCATCCTTATCTATGTGTCAGTACTGATAGCAAAAGACAGGTAAAAAAAATCCTCGGAGGAGTAGTTTATTTATTCGTCTGAAGTAGAAACGTTATCGTAAGGCAGAGAGTTAGGCGCCAAAATTTGCAAACCATCTGTCCAGAAAAACTGCTTCAGTCAGCTTAGCCCAAATGTCATTATTAGGGCAGATGGCAACCAATTTAGTGTAGTGAGCAGTTGCGATGAGTATGTGCTAAGTGTTTTTGATATCGCAACACTTTCGGTTAAGTTTAGGTGGATATGCCGGAAACATTTATTAGACACCTGAAGTGTTTTCACAGTTGTGATTGTGTTGATTTGCCACAGAACACTGACAAAGTGGACAATTACGTGCTCATCTCCCAATCTCCTACTTCATTCTCAGAAACATAAAGCATTGACTTATGGATTCAACTGTGGCTCACGCACCTAAATGAGAAGGAGAATGTAGTGCTGAAAGGGTGAGGTACACTGGTAGACATAGTACAAACGATTGTGATGTCAGTTGAATGCACTAAAATGATCTTGACGACAAATGCACACTTCGTTTTGTTGTTCAGTATACCTAGGTCGTTGTGCCATCGTTTAGCCATGTTCTGTATCTCAGTATCCATCTGTCACTTCAAAAGGGTTCACTTTACCTCGAGATTAGACGTCAGTAACAATATTAGCATGAGTTTAGAACTTTGACAGATAGTCAAGGGACCTGGTTTCTCTTGGACAGTGCTTCTCAGATGACGTACGGAATGTATAACACAGTGGTTTATGGTCAGGAAGTATAGTGAAAACACGACAGTGCAATATATAATAGAAATGTTCTACGGCAAGGTCGATAGCTAACAGTTCCCTTCCAATGGTGTTGTTACTGGTCTGGTTAGGTTCTAGGCTCTTGGAGGGAATACTGGAGAGATATAGCCATTATGAATCTTCCAGTGTAATAATGCTTCCCGTCTTACATGAGATACATCTGTGCAGAAAAGCAGTGATGTTGTTGGATTCATGCGACTTTCTCAAGTACTACCGTAAGCCTATCAAACGCTTCCCTTGTTGGATTCGTGAAGGTATATTTCTACTGAATACCCTAAAGGGTGCAAATTAGATTCACACACTGGAATAAATTGGTAATGGAAGTTAAATATTCCCAAAAAATGTTGGAGTTTCAGATTATTCCTTAAGTGCTTAAATATTCTCTTTTAAAGATTTGATACCGTCAGTCGTGAAACAATGTTCTAAGGATTCCGAAAACATACTTATTCGGAATGATAACTATACCACATTGTTAAAAAAGTCAAAATAATATGTCGATATACCCAGAGTAAATCCATCCTAGAGAATATCCTATTTCCGTCTAGAGTGAGAGAAAAACCACGGAAATATGGATTGGTGAATCTTTCAGAAATCTTTACTTTATTCAGTAAACTGCAGTCATGACTGCAACAAATATTCACGCTCCGCATTCACAGCTGTGAGTTTATCTAGTGGTAGGTGTTGGGGTCATATTAGCCTTAAGCTGTGATTATTTGTACGGTGGTAATTTGATTTCGTAAAAGTGGTGAATTTATAGAGTAATCCCGAATATGTATCATGATCAGACTTTGAAAAACAAAAGCAAAGAAACAGCTGCTGGCAATCATATGGCACCGATATCCTTTGGGCACCATCCTGAGACTGATCAATGCTGAACATTCTTCTGTCGCCTTTTGTTCCGAGGCCTAAAATAACTCATACGTGTACCATGCCTGTTTAAGCCATTTCATAAAAAGTTAATAACCAACATCAGTGTCATGCACCTCGTCATACGCCTTCACTAAAGTCAGTTGTCACCATACACTTCCCCCGGGTGATCCAGAGTTGAGGACCATGTCTCAATAAAATCTGACCACACAATAACTGGTTGCTTTCAGATACCTAGTTGTTGACATTCTCTGAAGAAAACACCAATCACATGGTCACCAAATATATCAAAAAACGAAATAAGAAAGTGGTTTCATCTATCCTTCATAATCAATATGACGCCTGCTAACACAGGCCAATAAGTTTCTCCCTAGCAAGTGATCTCTCACCTGATCGCAGATAGATCTAGGTGGGTTTCACTTTGATAATCGAAGTGTTGACGGCATACACTCCAAAAGTATAACAGACCTTGTTATCCGAGCTAAAGATATTAGCCTATGATTGAAGCAATAATTAGACAAATCGGGCCCACAAAAGCGTCTCCATTTATTATTATTTGTTCTTTGGGTTTCTAGTGGAACAATGGGATTCAGAGGCATGTCGTCATTCCACTCCCTTCTCTGCAGTATTCTCAACCTCAATCCACCAATGCCTACAACCTTTCATTTCCTCCTTACACCATCTTCTCCATGTCACCCTCGGACATCCAATTCGTCGTTTCCCACATCGGTTCCAATCAACAGCCCAGCATGTCACCTGATGTCTCCAATCCGTCTTCTCTGTGTAAGTCCAGTCCACTCCAATCCACCTCCATTCTCTGCAGCTGCATATTTGTTGGACGATGGGCGCTTGCTTCCTCGGTTCGTTGTCAGGCCAGACAGGGCTTCTCCTTGCATATTCTTATTATTCTGGTCATCCATCGGATCTTCAGAATGGAGTGAGTGATGGTGGCATCTGTTGATGATGTATATCTGTAGTTTGTTGGAAATGCTATTCGTCACGCACTAAGTGTCTCAGTCATCACATAGAAGCACTGACTTGGCTGAGATTGTTGTTGAATATCCGGATATTGTTGACGCTTTATGTTGAGCGGAGTGGAGTGGAGTAGATCTCCACACTGATTTGATTTCAGATTAATGAAGGAAAGCCTGTCTTGCTGATTTTCCGATCGTGGTCGGTTTTGACGTCTTCATCTGTGCCTGTGCCGCCTGTAGTTGAAACGATGCTACCTTGTCTGGGTAGGTAATAGAGACTACTTCCTTTAGGTTTCTTCCGTTCATGGTGATTGGTGCTTGTTGTTGTTGGTTGAGTATCTTCATCACCTCTGTCTTATCTATGTTCATCTGAAGGAAGTGCTGTTTTCACTGCCTCACCTCTTCTATCAACTTGTTGAGTTTTGTCTTTACATCTTTGAGTTTATTTGATAAGACATTAGACATAAATCATCATCATCTGTGAAATCCAAATCTTCTTCTGGATTATTTCCATTGGTCCAGCCAGCGTATACTTATCTTCTAACAGCTCTTCACAGTTTCTTGCATGATCCATTCCTATCTATTCGACCACAATCAGGAATATCATTAATGATAGTAGGCTGCAAAACCTGTCTTACTCCTATCTTCACTTCACTTCATAGGCATCACTGAGCTTTCAGTGTGTTGTGAATCTCTTGGCATGTAGCATCATATAGCATATAGATGCTGTTGAATGAAGTTGATAAAGGTTTGTAACACTTAAACCGTAGTATTGAAGCAGTTTCCAAATTACTTCTCAATCGATGCTATTGAATGCTTTCTCAAAATGGATGAAGTTAAGGTAAAAATTTGGTTGCTATTCTATGCTTACTTCATTTCACATAATGGAAATCATCAAGACTTGAAGTGGACCAGTATAAGTACATACTTCTCGATAATTATCTATCACAACTAACCTGATTACCTCAAGATAATCAATATTTTGTCACCTAAGCCTTCTTTCTAGTTGGTTTTAGTATGACGCCAAACCTTCATTTGACTGTTGTTTTTTTTGTGGTGAGAGATGCATGTAAGTGTTTAGAAAGCTAAGTGAGAATGACTATTATCATGTTATCAATACCTACACCACATAAGTAATGTATTCATAAATTTTATGTGCAATTCGAATTTGTAGTCTCCTTAAATTACACTTGATATATGAGGACACCTCGTATTGTGTCGTTTAGGTGCTGGTACAAAATGTGACCAACTATTCATTTAGTAATTATACTGTACATCTTTTCTGCCTGTTCTATAGTAGAGATGTGAATGATGATTGTTGGCGATTGACGATTTTAAGAGGCTGTAGGTAATCAGTTAATGTTTCTTCGAAAAACGATACATACAGTAAATCAGTGAGATTCAGTTCAGCGTTTTCTGCGGATACTGTGAAACTAGCAATGATGTTCTTGATCAGAACCAGCTAACGTGACTGAGATGTGGAGTACGCTGAATTCAAGGAATCCAAGGTTTTAATCCACATTGTTATAGTGATATATGACGTCTGTTACTACTAGTCAAAGCGTGTAGATGAATATCCCTTATCTAATGATTAGTTGTGACGAATCACCCTAAAAGTGACATAATATAGTGTCATTCACAGAATGGGAATTGTAAACATTTTACCACTTTATTGATGATTATTGTGTCTCCGTTAGGATATGCGCTGCTATGTATATGCCTTAGCATTAATTACCTGAAGATTCACTATGGTGCATGGGATTTCCTTGATGATGGCTGAAAAGGGAATCTAGAATGGGAAAATCCATATATCTGCCAACAATAACCAATAGACATTTTACAAGTGGTTACCGTTTTGGCTGATTGAATTTTGAAAAGGAATCAATGTAGTTTTGTAACCTTTTCAAAACACCCATGTAAAACGTTGGCACTTTGCTAGATGTAATTTTATATTTGATAGACAACACATGAGATGATACAGTATTTTTTACTGGATAACGTTTCAAGCATCACTTATCGCTTGTAATAATCATATCCATGAAATTATATCTTTACCGTTTTGTGTAACTACTACTGATATGTTGATAAGCAGTGATATATTTATGCTCAAAACTTCCTCATCGTGTAAATTATTATGGAATCACCATGTTATGTATGTCAAATAAGTAAATCTTATATCGAACAAAATAGTCACTGAAGTAGAAAGTCGTGAAGAAAAAGAGGAAGTAAATAGGAACCAGACAATACTGAAACTCACTATGACTATTAGATTGATTATCATCTTATATCGGTTCACATTACAGTGAGAACACAAGTATTGATGAGAGTTTGTTTTAATTTAGACCAATTGATAGGTCTGTGTAGCTAATCTTTCCTCTTTTTCATTGTAGTTATTGTATGCATAATAATAATAATAATACATTCCAAGTTGTTATTTATCGTAGACAGATATCAGTTGGAGGAATAAAGGAAATTTGGGGGGACTGGATAGCTGATTCGTCCCCAGTATGGGACTCCTCAGCAGTGCTCATCCACTACCCCGCCAGGAGTCGAACCCGTGACCCTCAGGTTCCGTGGCCAGCAAGCTACCATCCAGCCCCTGTGTCAGGATCCTATGGTCCATATTTCCAACTTCTTTTAGCTCATGATATGACACAACCACCACCCAATGTTATCGTTGAGTAACTGTCCTCACGACCGGTCACGCTTGATGTCAGCCTACGATGAAAAACAAATTGAAATATTTCCAAATCCTCACAACTCTTTGAAAATTCAATAGTATATATTTGCTTTACTCCGCAACATAGTTATGTTCACATTACAGAATTGTCAGTGTGTGATATTACCATTATAAAACATTTTTAAAACACTAATATTGTTTTTATTTAACAATATATAATAAAGAATAATAGGATTATTGAAATATTGAATAAGTTCAAGGTCACCGTTGATTGATTGAGAAGACAATGGCTTAACAAGATTTTTTTCACACAAAACATAAGCTAAATAAGGTGATATGGTTGAAGTTTTTGTTTTCAATTTTGCGTGTATATGGTTTAATATATTTGCTACTTGTCTTCTCAGACGACAGATATGGAGAGAAGTGCGGATATAGAGTATGCTTGTCATCAGATAAAATATTTTTCACCCGTAGCCTACAAGAGATCAAATGCCTATCCAGGACTCTACTTACTAGATCGGTTATGGGTGTGCTACTTGCTCTACTATTATTATTATTATTATTATTATTATTATTATTATTATTATTATTATTTATCCCTTTGGTTCCTAGTGGAACATACACCTTCAGTAACACGTCTCCATTACACTCTCCACTTCTCTGCAACCCTTTCAACCTGGCTCCACGCTACACGACTGACCACAACCTCTCATTTCTTCTTTATGCTATCTCCTCAATGTCACCTTCACCTCGGACGCCCAACTCGCCGTTTCAAATC